TTTTTGAGTTGGAGTTTCGTTCTTGTTGCCCAGGCTGGAGTGCAATGGCACGGTCTCGGCTCACTACAACCTCTGCCTCAGGGGTTCACGTGATTCTCCTGCCTCAGCCTCCTGAGTAGCTGGGATTACAGGTGCCCGCCACCATGCTCAGCTAATTTTTTTGTATTTTTAGTAGAGATGGGGGTTTCACCATGTTGGCCAGGCTAGTCTCGAACTCCTGACCTCAGGTGACCTACCTGCCGTGGCCTCCCAAGGTGCCAGGATTACAGACATGAGCCACCATGCCCAGCTAAACTTAACTTGAATTATTTCTCGTAGCTGCCTATTTTAAAGAAAAATAGAAAGGAAGCTAAACCAATCAGAAGTAGCCAACAACCTTATATAACTAGGGACTTTTCAACAAGATAAACAAAAAACCAAGAAGAAACAAGTTTGTAACTACCATTAATCAAATAATTTGTTTCTACATTTTTCCAATAAATAGTTGCCTCTTACACTGTTAATAAAACCTAAACCTCTTTTAGACTGGTGTCCTATAATTAATCAATTGTTCTCACTCAAATAAACTCTTTACAATTTATTGTGTCTCAGATTACTTTTTAGTAGAATAAAATAAACCATCTAGGAATCCATATTACAAAAAGGTTTACAGAATATGAGAAAAGACACACGATGTTCCTGAAATATATGAATGTAGACATAAGCAAATAGAAAAATTACATGTTCTTAGACAGAAAATATACTATCAATATAAATTGTCCTTAAGGTAGTTCATACATTAAATTTTGTTCTAATATAGATACCATTAAATATTGGAGGTAGGCATTTTACTATAAAGTAGTATATAAGCCAGGTGTGGTGGCTCACACCTGTAATCCTAGCACTTTGGGAGGCCGAGGTGGGTGAATCACCTGAGGTCAGGAGTTTGAGCCCCAGCTGGCCAACATGGTGAAACCCATCTCTATGAAAATACAAAAATTAGCCAGACAAGACGGCAGGTGCCTGTAATCCCAGCTACTTGGGAGGCTGAGGCAGGAGAACTGCTTGAACCTGGGAGGTAGAGGTTTCAGTGAGCCAAGATGGTGCCACTACACTCCAGCCTGGTGACAGAGCAAGACTCTGTCTCAAAAATAAATACATACATACATACACATATACATACATACATACATAAAACAGCATATAGATGAAAAGATAAGAAGAGCCAAGAAAACTCTGGGGAAACAAAAAATAACACAGATAATATTGGCCAGCCCTGTGAAAAATCTTGATTAAAAAAGCTAACAGATCGGCTGGGCGTGGTGGCTCACGCCTGTAATCCCAGCACTTTGGGAGGCTGAGGTGAGTGGATCACGAGGTCAGGAGATCGAGACCATCCTGGCTAATATGGTGAAACCCCGTCTCTACTAAAAATACAAAAAAAATTAGCAGGGCGTGGTGGCAGGCACCTGTAGTCCCAGCTACTTGGGAGGCTGAGGCAGGAGAATGACGTGAACCTAGGAGGCGGAGCTTGCAGTGAGCTGAGATTGCGCCACTGCACTCCTGCCTGGGTGACAGAGCAAGACTCTGTCTAAAAATAAATAAATAAATAAAATAAAATAAATAAAAGCTAATAGATCATTGGAACTAAAAATTCAGAAATAGACTAAAGTACCTAAGAAAGTGTCTTAGTCCATCCAGGCTGCTGTAACAAAATACCTTAGGCTGGGTAATGTAAAAACAACAGAAATTTATTGCTCACAATTCTGGAGGCTGGAAAGTGCTAGATCAAGGCACCAACAAATTTGGTGTTTGGTGACAGCCCTGATCCTCATAGATGATACCTTCTTGGTGTGTCCTCACATGGTGAAAGACAAGGACACTCCCTTCAACCTCATTCAAAGGGGCACTTAGTCCATTCAGGAAGATGGCACTCTCTTGACTTAGTCACTTCCCCAAAGGTCGCATGCCTAATACTATCCACATATGAATTTGGAGGGGGACACAAATATTTAGACCACAGCAAAAATTTAATAAGCAGGAAAAGCTATGTGGAGGATGGCATCATTAATACTTTTACATGTGAAAAATTGATGTTCCTATCACAAAGGAAAGAAATGATTTACTCTTCATGTTCTTCAGAATATAGAACAAAATAAAGGTCCAATGAAAAATAAATCTATACAAAAAAACGAATCAGTGTTGATAAGATGAATTCTACAAATTGTATCAGGATTTCTGAGGTTTTTGGGAATGGGCAAGGCCCCAGAATTTCCTCCTGTGACATTCTCCCTGAAGATGCTCATGCTCTTATTCAACTTGAAAGTGGATAAAGGCCAGGCGTGGTGGCTCACGCCTATAATCTCAACACTTTGGGAGGCCGAGGTGGGCGGATCACGAGGTCAGGAGTTCAAGACCAACCTGGACAACATTGTGAAACCCCGTCTCCACAAAAAACACAAAAATTAGCTAGGCATAGTGATACGCATCTGTAATCCCAGCTACTCGGGAGGCTGAGGCAGGAGAATTGCTTCAATCTGGGAAAGGGAGGTTGTAGTGAGCCGAGATCGCACCACCGGACTCCAGCCTGGGAGACAAACTAAGACTTCGTCTCAAAAAAAAAAAAAGAAAGTGGATAAAGATGTTTTTTCCTGGCTGGGCGCGGTGGCTCAAGCCTGTAATCCCAGCACTTTGGGAGGCCGAGACGGGCGGATCACAAGGTCAGGAGATCAAGACCAACCTGGCTAACACGGTGAAACCCCGTCTCTACTAAAAAAATACAAAAAACTAGCCGGCCGAGGTGGCGGGTGCCTGTAGTCCCAGCTACTCGGGAGGCTGAGGCAGGAGAATGGTGTAGACCCGGGAGGCGGAGCTTGCAGTGAGCTGAGATCCGGCCACTGCACTCCAGCCTGGGCGACAGAGCAAGACTCCATCTCAAAAAAAAAAAAAAAAGTTTTTACCTGTTCTAATATTTAAGAAATTCAAAATAAACAGGCCTATGTATGCATGATTCTCAAACAATCAGTCAGCGGTGCTCTGCTAAGGAAGAGCAAAGAGTCTCACATCCACAGAAGTACAATGTTCTGTCAGATAAAGATGTCTCCCTGTGCCAGAGCCACATATTTTACACGTGATCAGAGGCTTTCACAGGCAAGCATTGCTCTGCAGCCCTACCACAGACTTAACCCTGAGAATCTGACTTAGAAGGTCACTGATGAACACACGCCCTAGTGTTCTGATCTACATGAATCCTCTCTTAATGGTACCTTCCAGGGATCTGGGATCTTTCCTGAATTCATCTGCCACACACAGATAGACTCAAAAATTTAGACAGAAGCTTTGATCCTCACTGGCACATCTGCCCTGTCCTATCAGCTTCTCTAGAAGTACGCTGCTCTAATTGCTCCTGAGTGACCCCACCGAAGGGTATCTCTCTTTGCCAATATAATTGATTTCATAAACTGGGAAAAGAAATAGGCAAGAGTCTAGCTATGCTGGGGCTGTCTAAGATTCCCTTACCTATGTCTCTAATTTACCCAAATATTGACCAAAAAGATTAATGGTGGTAGGAAAACGGAAGGAGGAGCCCCAGTTCACAGAAGAAGGAGAAAATGTAATCAATGCTGCATAGCACCCAGCTTAAGCTTACCCACGGGGGACTGAGCCTCTTCAGAAAAAAGCCATGGTTCTCCATTGTATTAGTCTGTTCTCATGCTGCTAATAAAGACATATCCAAGACAGGGTAATTTATAAAGGAAAGAGGTTTAATTGACTCACAATTCCACATGTGACCTATAGGTCAGGGCAGCGGGGTTCACAATCATGGAGGAAGGCGAGGAGGAGCAAAGTCACGTCTTACATGGTGGCAGGCAAGAGAGCATGTGCAGGGAAACTGCCCTTTATAAAACCATCAGATCTCCTGAGACATAATCACTATCACGAGAACAGCATGGGAAAGACTCACCCCTATGATTCAATTACCTCCCACTAGGTCCCTCCAACAACACATGGGAATTATGGGAGCTACAATTCAAGATGAGATTTGGGTGGGGACACAGCCAAACCATATCATTCATCATCTGAAGGAACCGTGGTCTCAGACAGCTGGGCACCGAGAGTGCATGCTGCCCCCTAGAATTCCACACCTACATCACAGAGAGAACAGTCTCAAAGGATTCTTAAGGTTAATATGGGGAGCCAAAAGGAGAAGATGAATTCACAGCCTCTGCGTTACCTTCTGGTCTAACCCTACTCTTGTCCTGGCCCAACAGGATTCCCATACTCTTTTCTGGGTTGCACCAGAGGTAATTCAGAAAGACAAAAAGTTATTAATGCCCCTCCATTCCCCACAGCTTCTGAGGTCTAAGTTGTTCATTCCCTGGGTTTTAGGTTGTTGTTCTCCCTCTACCTCCACAGAATCAGTGTGTCCCATTCCAGTACCTATGATTTCACCTGTATTCTTGTCACCTCCTACTTTCTCCCAGACATTTTATCTAACAGAGCCAGGCGAAACAGAGACAAGGATATTTACATAAAACTTAACCAGAACTAAGTTGGAGTTCCATAACCCCCATTGGGCTGGGATGGCACTCAGGCTGGCCTAAGATTGTGGTTATGGAACAGAAAGACACATTTTGCCCAGGAATGATCAGTGTGGAATCCCAAATTTGGGAAATAGATCCTTAGAGCGCCCAATCGTTTCATCCTTCTCTTGGAGGTAATCAAGAAGAGATAATCCCCTTTTGGAGAAAACCATGTCTAATCAACAGATGACCTAACCAACATGTGTGGAAAAGGAGGTAAAATCAGACAGTTGACCCATTTTAGTAGATTTGGTAATAAACGCCACAAAGTCAGAGTTCAAGCGGTCTCAAAACCCTAAAAGGTGACACAGATTAGTTTCAAGGGACACAAGGTGTCACAGGGTGTACCAACCTCCCAGAGGGTGAGAACCATGGCAACTTTGGGCAGGCTGGGAAACGATCCCGGACTCTTGCAGTTCTGTGAGAAATCAAACTTACCGCAACTTTGGAAGTCAAGAAGCCAGCACGTTGGGGGATACGGGATCACAATTACTTGGTGAGACAAGCTGCCCTGGTAGCTTGCCCTCTCCCATCAGGTAGGTGAGGTTAAAGAACAGGCAGGCTCCCCCTCCGCATGGCAGAACTGCTGTGAAGGCATGGAGGAGCGAGGCTGAGGTTGGGGGCCTTCGCCTACCATTCCGTGAGCTGAAATTTTTTGTTACCAGCCAGTGATCACAGGGCTGCAGGACTACAATCCCAGCGTGCACAGGGATCAGGGACTGTGCGCATCACTGGAGGAAGGGGCGGAGCTGCGCGCGCTTCGCTGAGCTTGCTGGGAGATGTAATCTGATAGCCAACTCCCAGCCCTTCGGCCACAAGGCTGCAGGACTACAATCCCAGCTGTACCAGGCTCAGGGGCGGTTCGCAGCCTTAGAGGAAGGGGCCAGGCGGTGAGCGCCGCGCCTTGTATGCTGGGAATTATAGTCTCTTCATTGCTCTAGGCCCATGGGTAGGTAGCTTCAGAACTACAATCCCAGTATGCATCGGGGCGGTGCGTAGCCCTGGAGGGAGGGGCATAGCGGTGTGGATTTACCGGTGTGGAAAGCACTGCTGGCCGCCGATTTCACGCCGCCCCCTTGCCAGGGAGAGTGAATACAGCTAGGGACGTGAAAGGCAGGTCTGGGCTGGGCATTGAGGAGGGTATTAAGCTAGGAAATATACCTTACCTTTGTCTAAATCGGGCGGATCGTCCTCCCGTCATTGGCCCTGTGCAGCTTGGATTCCTCTCACCCGCACCCAGGGGTCTTCCCAGAGCATGGCGTCGTCTCCAGCCCAGGGAGCTGCCTTCTTTCCCAAACTGCTTTGGAAACTGTCCTGATGTCTAAGACAATGTACGTTGTGCCGCAGCCCTGTACCTTCTCTAGCTAGAGTGCGAGCTCAGCTGCTTTTGAGAAAAATCTACCACCTGGCCCACCTGTGCACAACTTCAGAGCTTTGTCGGGGGTGACAAGGGCCGTGGCTTCGGGGAAATATCCCGCACACTGGCGCCTTTTTCGCGAATGTGAAAGTTGAGACATCAAGAAGCTTAATTATTGGGTTGCTCAGGATCTGCCAAGAGCAAAGGAGAAAACCCCATTTCCCAGGCATGTGTCTTGTGAGCCATTTTTTGTCAACCCTCTCAAGTGGACAAGCTCCAAAACACAACATGAAACTGATGATGATTTAGGCAATTTACGTTTGAAATCATTGGCCTCATCTCAAATCAGTGTCTCAGAGACACAGGTCGGACCTGATCCCTCAGGAACAGATAGCGTTTCAGCTTTGTGGGATTGACTTTTGAGATGTGGAGCACTGGGGGGTCATTTGAAAGCCATCAGGTTTCACATCTCTGCTTTGGATGGAAAGCCCATCACCCACAGCTGTCAGGGATGTTCCTTAACTCACTGGGGCTCATCTGTTGAATTTTTCTATCTAGATAATGGAAACATCTAGGAGCACTTCTGCTTCCATGTAACCTCTTAATAATTGATGTCCCTAAAATTCTGTGTTCTCAGGGACAGTTCCTTTGGTTCCCAGATGGTACCAGCTTTCATGTTGTTATATCTAATATGTAAAAACCTGGATGTTAATCTCCAAGACATTGTTCGCGTCACACATTCCAGTATGTTTCATTTGTGATGTCTTTTTTTTTTTTTTTTTTATTTGAGACGGAGTCTCGCTCTGTCGCCCAAGCTGGAGTGCAGTGGCCAGATCTCAGCTCACTGCAAGCTCCGCCTCCCGGGTTCCCGCCATTCTCCTGCCTCAGCCTCCCGAGTAGCTGGGACCACAGGCGCCGCCACCTCGCCCGGCTAATTTTTTGTGTTTTTAGTAGAAACGGGGTTTCGCCGTGTTAGCCAGGATGGTCTCGATCTCCTGACCTTGTGATCCGCCCGTCTCGGCCTCCCAAAGTGCTGGGATTACAGGATTGAGCCACCGCGCCGGGCCCATTTGTGATGTCTGAATGTAGGTTTTCAAAGAACTGAAAACCTGGCCATAAAAATTGGACCCTATTACTGTACTTAGTGAATAATTTACCCCTTAGGGTTAATTACACCTGAGTTCATCAGCACCTGTGTAAAGAAAGAAAAAAAATTATGGCATCTGCCAGGCATGGTGGCTCATGCCTGTAATCCCAGCACTTTGGGAGACCGAGACGGGTGGATCACCTGAAGTCAGGAGTTTGAGACTAGGAGTTTGAGACCAGGCCAACATGGCGAAACACCATCTCTACTAAAATACAAAAATTAGCCAGGCGTGGTGGCAGGCACTGTAATCCCACCTATTCTGGAGGCTGAGGCAGGAGAATCGCTTGAACCCAGGGGATGGAGGTTGCAGTCAGTCTAGATCAAGCCACTTCATTCCAGCGTGGGCAAAAGAGCGAAACTCCATCTCAAAAACCAACAAAACAAAACCATGTGGCACCTATGCACCTGGCAAGATGAGGAAGTATAGGGAGACCACAGCACATTTCTAGGGCTCTTCTTTTGTTTTAAATAGCGCCTGTGGGGAAAGTCCATGTGATCCAGTGCACACATCCCTTCCCTATCCCTCTGTTTTCATCCTACTCCTTTCTGTGCCCTCTTTAGGTGAGGGTGTCTGATCACCCTCGCCCACAAGTGTTGCTTGGGGATGTTGTAATGTAACCATATCCATCCTCTCAAAACGAGGATTAATAGAGAAGAGAGTCTTGGGACTTGTGTTCAGATGCACTGCTGTTTGGCGTGTGGCTGCTCTCATCAGTCCACAGCAGCTGTCTGAAAAGATTGGTCCTGATGTAGCCATAGCTGGTGTTCACAGGGCTGGGTGCTTCTTGTGGTTTGGTGTCTTTTGCTTAGATTTTGTGGCTCTGACCCTCTTCTGCTTATCCATTCCTGGTAGTATCTGCGGGGTTGCCTGGTTTGTTCCAGTTGTTCCCTGAAAGCTTGTTGTGTAACTATTTCCCAAGGTCTTTGGGATTCTACGCTCACTAGACCAGTCACTGTCCACTGGCCCTGTCCTTATCTTGCTGGAGCCCCCATGTTCATCCTCTCCAGTGGAGCAAAGAATTCTAGTTACTTAGAAATCTTCTAATTCTGATGCTGCTGGGCCATTTATGAAGCTGGGAATCTTGTCTTTGGGTTCATGGGTGTTATTCTTTTTGCATATTTCGATATCTGATGCTATTTTACTGATAATGTGAACCTCCAGCAACAGGCACATTTAAATACTAGTGAATTTTTTTTTTTTTTTTTGAGACAGTTGCGCCCTGTTGCCCAGACTGGAGTACAGTGGCGCAACCTTGGCTCACTGCAACCTCTGCTTCCTGGATTCAAGCGATTCTCCTCCCTCAGCTTCCCAAGTAGCTAGGATTACAAGCACCCACCACCACACCCGACAAATTTTTATATTTTTAATAAAGACAGGGTTTTGCCATGTTGAGCAGACTGGTCTAGAACTCCTGACCTCAAATGATTCATCTGCTTTGGCTTCTCAAAGTGCTGGGATTACAGGCATTGAGCCACCGCACCTGAACTTGTATTGCCTTTCTCTGATTCTGTTTGAGGGTAGTACTAGGTTCCTAAAATATATTGGGAAATGTTCCTTCCTCTTCTACTTTCTGAACAATATTGAGTAGAAATGGTGTTAATTCTTTTTTAAACACTGGACTCAGAAAACCATTCAGGCTTGAATTTATTTATTTTTTTTAGTTTTAAAATTATGATTTCAGGCTGGGTGCAGTGGCTCATGCCTGTAATCCCAGCACTTTGGGAGGCTGAGGTGGGTGGATCACCTGAGGTCAGGAGTTCGAGACTAGCCTGACCAACATGATGAAACCCAGTCTCTACTAAACAAATACAAAAATTAGCCGGCGTGGTGGCACATGACTGTAATCCCAGGTACTCGGAAGGCTTGAACCCAGGAAGTGGAGGTTGCGGTGAGCCGAAGTCGCGCCACTGTACTCCAGCCTGGGTTACAGAGTGAGACTCCATTTAAAAAAAAAAAAAAAAAGGCCGGGCGCGGTGACTCAAGCCTGTAATCCCAGCACTTTGGGAGGCCGAGACGGGCGGATCACGAGGTCAGGAGATCGAGACCATCCTGGCTAACACGGTGAAACCCCGTCTCTACTAAAAAATACAAAAAAAAAAAAAAACTAGCCGGGCAAGGTGGCGGGTGCCTGTAGTCCCAGCTACTCGGGAGGCTGAGGCAGGAGAATGGCATGAACCCGAGAGGAGGAGCTTGCAGTGAGCTGAGATCTGGCCACTGCACTCCAGCCTGGGTGACAGAGTAAGACTCCGTCTCAAAAAAAAAAAGAAAAAAAATTGAGAAGCCATAAATCCTTGGTTTTGTTTTTTGTTTCATACTTCAGGTTTGACTTTGTTTGTTTGACTTGAACTTTTACAGATCAAGTAAGAACTTAGTAGTCTTCCTATCTATTCTAATTCTTTTTTTTTTTTTTTTTTTTGGCAGGGGGCGGGGGACGGAGTTTCGCTCTTGTTGCCCAGGCTGGAGTGCAATGGTGTGATCTCGGCTCAGCGCAATCTTAGCTCACTGCAACCTCCGCCTCCCGGGTTCAAGCAATTCTCCTGCTTAACAGCTGGGATTACAGGCATGTGCCGCTACGCCCAGGTAATTTTGTATTTTTAGTAGAGATGGGGTTTCTCCATGTTGGTCATACTGGTCTCAAACTCCCGACCTCAGGTGATCCACCCACCTCGGCCTCCCAAAGTGCTGGGATTACAGGCATGAGTCACTGTGCCATCTATTCTAATTCTAGGAAGCCCATGAGTCAAACTGTTCTTATTGCTTGCTTTGACTTTGCAGTCTATTAAATAACCATTCCCACCATTTTTTTCACAGCTGCATTTGAGTGCTGCCACTTAAATCCTGCAGTCCCAAGACCCAGTTATAACCAATGCATTTAGATTTTTCATTTTGGTGGCAACAATCTTCATTGTAAGTTCTGTCTTACAGAGAAGTGTGTTGATCAAGCTCTTCAGAGATACTGGGACTCCTCTCACAAATATATGTCTCACAGTTATAATGAATGGTATCTCCTGGATCCTCCTCAGTTGAGTATGTTTTAAATGAAAAAGACACTTTAGGCTGGGCGCGGTGGCTCAAGCCTGTAATCCCAGCACTTTGGGAGGCCGAGACAGGCGGATCACGAGGTCAGGAGATCGAGACCATCCTGGCTAACATGGTGAAACCCCGTCTCTACTAAAAAATACAAAAAAAAAAAAAAACTAGCCGGGCGAGGTGGCGGGCGCCTGTAGTCCCAGCTACTCGGGAGGCTGAGGCAGGAGAATGGCGTAAACCTGGGAGGCGGAGCTTGCAGTGAGCTGAGATCCGGCCACTGCACTCCAGCCTGGGAGACAGAGCGAAACTCTGCCTCAAAAAAAAAAAAAA